TTTTTTTCAATTTATTATATAGGTACAACTCAAGAATTTCATAGACCATTCTATTGCTAACTAGTATTCTGACCCGTGCCATGCACGGGATCGAACGAAATTTATGTCGATTCTGAATTATTTTAATGAAATTTATTTTTTGGAATAAAGAAAATATACTGCTCACATTATTTTTAATACTACAGATGAAAAATGTCAAAATAACAACAACAACAACAACCCAGTTAAATCCCACAAGAGTAGGGTCTGGGGAGTGTGTGTGCGTAGACCTTGCCCCTACTCAAAAGTAGAGAGACTATTTCCAAAGAGACCCCCGACTCAATGTCGAAAGTTGCATTACTTGACTAACTGCTACTTTATTAATTAAAGAAGTGCAGATAGTTTAGAGATCCATTTTGATTTATTCCATCACACCCCAAAGCCAAAAAATGGTGAAATTTTGGCTCCATCGGAGATGATGGAAACTGAATGTAGAGTTAACAATGTTTATTTTAATACCAGAATTTTTGAAAAACTTCAGGGTATACAACATTTTTGGTATGGTTGCAAGAGTTTCCATTGTCATCTAGCATCAATATCTTTCATCTTGTCTTTGTCTTCACTCGTGAAACAGTAACATAAAGTTGACCATGTGTAAACACCGATTTAGTTAAAAAAATAATCCCACAAATGATACTGTTTGACCTTGACTTTTGTTGATAGTCATAGCAAAACATAAGGCGATTGGGAATTGTATTCTTTGGAACTTCAAGGGTAGCCTGGATTAGATGGTACCAAATTCTTTCAAGAGGATGTAAACCTTTTCCCAAGCTCAATTTCCGAAACCACAATTGCACCGATAACATTATTTTGCAGCTCTCAAACGATTAATCTTGTCCCATTACACAATCCAGATGTTTGGTCAATGTTCCTCAATAGCATAATTGGTACCCTCTTTTCAAGACTATTTTGTGGTTTGGGATTCTCAAACATTTGATTTCGTACAAAAACTCAATTGTTATCCAATCTCCATCAACACTTACATCTGCATCTGCGTGGCGCGAAGAATCAGAAATCAAGTATTCCTTTTCATTACCATGAATGAGGGACATGACAAATTAATTTATCATTTCAACTACTTTGAGAGTTGGTGCTAAAAAAAGGATAATAAATTAAAAACTTTATATTTTTCAATATAAAATATATTGTTTTAAAATCATCATTCTTTAAAGGTTATCATAAATAAATTTCCATAAATGATGAATGAAAATTTAAAGCATATAATGTAATTTATTCATGTGTCATGTTATTTAAAAATTCCCATGTAAGATGACACATGTCAACTTCTTAGAGACATGAGTAAAGGATTATGTGGCGCTGACATGTTAAAATTTTGCCAAATAGGCATGCCAAATGTCGCATTCCCGTGCATCCGAGTCTCCTTTATTATAATAAAGGATTACAAAAAATTCGAACAACATTCTTTCGGTAATTTTAATTTAGTTCATCAATTTTTGAATGCAATATATCTTTCAATCCAAAGATTCCATTATGGTTGAACAAAATTATCAATACTTTTATAAAGTAATTTGGGATTTGGGGAGTCTTTATTTGTCAAATGATTAAAAAAAGTATTCAAAATGACTTTCATTTACCATGTGCTCAATTATCATGATTTTTTGATTTTACAATTTAGTTTTAAAAAGAATTTTATAAGAATGAAATGTTTGTAGAAGTATTTTCATTTAAGTTGATTTTAAAAAAAATATTTTTTTCAATTACACGAAATCTTCGTTGGTTGTGTCCATTATTGGCAATAAATAAGATTTTTTAAATAATAATATGTAAGACTAAAAAATTAGGCCGTAGAGAGTTTTAATTTGTCCCTAGAAGAATGAGTTTACTATAAATTGGGACGTAGAGAGTTTTTATTTAGGCCAAAGTGTTTTATAAAAATGAAATGATTTTATTTAGGGATGAGTATTTTCATTTATGTTGTTTTATAAAAAAATATATCTTTTTTCGATTACCATAATTCTGGGTTTTTTGTGCACTACTCACAGTAAATAAGACTTTTTTGTAATAAAATTATACGGACTCAAAAATTAGAACGTAGGAAGTTAAATTTGTCCATTGAATATTAAATTTACAAATCAAATTGGGACGTAGCTAGGTAATTTTTTTTAATGCAAGATGAAAATCTTTCAAAATAACTTGTATTTACCTTGTGCTCAGTTCTCAACTTCTCAGTTTTTTAATGTTACATGAGAGTTAAATGTTATCGTTTTGGGAGAAATATTTTCACATAAGCTCATTTAAATTCATTCATAAATAAATTGGTTGAACAAGATAATCATTTGTTTACTTAATTTGGGACGTAAGGAGTCTTTATTTGTCAAATGATAAATTAAAATGATTCAAAATGACTTTCATTTACCACGTGTTCAATTCTCATTATATTTTGGTTTTTTAACACTATATTTTTTAAATAATTTCATAAGAATGAAACCTTTTCATTTAGGAAGAAATATTTTCATTTAAGTTGATTTTAAAATTATTTAGTGTTTTTTGGTAGGGGTGAGCAAGGACCGAACCGATCCCGATATTTCCCGAAAAAACCGAGAATACCGAACCGAAAAATACCGAACCGATAAAGTACCGAAAAGAAACCGAACCATACCGAACCGAACGGTCGGTCCGGTATTTGGGAACGGTACGAGGTTACTTCCCATACCGAAATTCCCGAACCGAACATATATACTAATATATTATAAAAATTATAATTTTTTTTATATTTCTTCATTAAATAAAAAATTTATATAGACAATTAATTTAATTTCATTATGTTTAAGTTGCAATTTAATAAGAGCTTTTATTTTTTGTAGATGAGTATAAGAATATTAACATATATTTTAAATAATACTTTGTTATCACTCGTTCTCTTTAGTTTGTAAAATATAAACTAACTTTCATAAGCATTTCTTGTGTTTTATTTTTTCATTTGTAAATTTTTTATCTTTCTTTGGTTAAATGTACTTTCAATTTTTCAAAAATAAAAGGTTTTGTTACATTTTATGATGTTAACTAGATACGTATATATTCATCCCGATTTGTACCGAAACCGATACCGAACCATCTCGAACCATACCGAACCGATGCTTCGGGATCGGGATCGGTACAACATAAAATCCCATACCGAACCGAAATATTTGGTACGGTATCGGTACGAGCTAAATACCGTACCATACCGTACCACGCTCACCCCTATTATTAAAAATAATTATTTTTTTTAAAAAAAATAATATGTATAACTAAAAACTTGGGATGTAGAGAGTTTTTATTTTTTCCTAGAAGAATGAGTTTACTAATCAAATTAGGGCATAGGGAGCTTTAATTTAGGCAAAAGTGTTACATAATGAAATGAATTCATTAAGCGAAAAGTGTTGTCATTTAAGTTCCTTTTAATTAGTCTTTTTTGGGTTACCATAAATCTAGATTGTTTTTATCTATTTCTCGTAGAAGAGATATTTTTTAAATAAAAATTATAGTTACAAGTCAAGAATTGAGACATAGGGAGTGAACATTTGTCCATAGAAGAATCATCTTAAAAATTAAAATGGGACGTGAGAAGTTTTAATTTGTTATATGAAAAATGATCGAAAATCTTTCAAAATGACTTGTATAAAATAAATCCTATGATTTTACACACTTTGAATAAAAAATGATTTGTATCAAAGCATGTTTCCTTATGTTAGTAAACATTTTTTAATTGTAAGGATGACAACAACAAAAATAATTAGGCATATTAAGATAACAAGGTTGAATGGACATGCAAAGTGAAAGTTGTTGGAAAGCACATCATTAGATACACAAAGGTTCAGCACGAAAAAGTATAGGCATTATGTGTTGTTGGATCAAAAAGTCTTTTAATCTCGTAAATGAATTATTTTATAATCTCGCAATCATAGAGGGGCGTAGACTGTTAATTATGTTTATTTAATGTATTACTTTTTAATATTAGGGAACTAAGATTCTCGCAATAGCAAATAGTGAATAAATGAGTACTCTTTGAATTTCATATGATAAACAAATAATAACTAATCATGCTTTTTCTATAAGTATTTCTATTGCATAAAAATTTAAATTGATTTATGACGACAAAGCAAAGTAAATTTCAGAACTTCATTATTAGAGACATAATTTATTTAGCATGAGTGGAGTTAAAAAATATAGACTAAAAAATTAATAATTCACATGTAATTTTGTTCTTCATTGTATAAATTATTGTCTTAAAAAACTCATTATACTATTAAACATTGCATTTTTTGTATTATCAAGTCATACTTGGTAGTATCCATTTTAAAACTCCATTTTTGGTCTTCAAACATTATGCTCATGGTTAATCAAAGATTATTTCAAAGCTTTTAATATTCCACAAAACAACTGAATACACACTATTTCATTGTTGGAATTAGAAAGAGATGTAAAATATGAGACTACACTATGCTCCCATTATTCACTATAATATACTCTAATTTTATACAATGTCTTTTTAATAAACATGGGTATACAATTCAAACAAAAAGATCGTGCTAACATAGACATCAGATATGTATGAAATCTGATATCAAAATCCATACATGCAAAAATCATGTCATTCATGAGATTACCTTATATATTATGAATTTGGAAAATATCAACCATGTCGATCAACTTTAAATGTTATTCCCAACATTTTTGGAATTATTTTTAAGTAAACCTTAATCGGGCACTACAATCCGCGCAACGCGCGTGAATATGCTAGTATTTAATATATGTTGTTTTAATTTATTATAAATAAAAATGTCGTGCACTCTATGTCATGAGTAATATCATGCTTACATATTGAATTTTATACCAAACGTACAAATCCCACATTCTAGATGAAGTGGTAATCAACATCTCCTTGTATTATAAATTGCATTTGATATATATGCCGCACAATAAGATGTCATATAGAATTAGGAAGATTGGTAAGGAATGTCAAATGAAGGCTATAAATAGGGAGGAGATCCAATTGTCATTATTCAATCAAATACAATACACCTGTTTTCGATTCATGATGTCCGACAACAACAATTCAAACAAGAGGGTGAGGATCGGAGGGGCCGACAAAGGATCCCTCTCACAAAGATTGAGAACGATGTTCACCGACAAGTCAGTTTCTCGAAGCGCCGGTCCGGCGTGTTCAAGAAAGCCAGTGAACTGTCCACTCTGTGCGGCGTCGATATCGCCATGGTCATATTCTCGCCCGCAAACAAAGCTTACACTTTCGGCAACCCCAGTTTGAACGCCGTTCTCAACAGGTACTTTGGCAAAAACTCGAATGCCAGAGCCAACGTCACTGACGACATTATCCGCGCTCGCCACGAGGTCATCGTGGGCTCCATGACGCCCGAGATCAGCGAAATGGAGTCGATGATTCGCGATCTAACGAACGAAAACCGTGCGTTGTGCGAGGCCGAGAAAAACCGGCCTTCTGTTTCTGATCTCCAAGAACTGGAGTTAGAATGTATGAAGAACAGCTTGGAAATGCTTCGAAACCAAGTGGTTGAAAAACTGAACCAACTCCATTTCAATCAATACCCCGCCGGGCATTCTGGTTTTCAGGGGCCATATCATGGGATAAATTAAACCATGTTGGAGAAGGGCAAGATATATTTGAAATCATGAGAGTTTTTGTTTTCATATATACTCTATCTTTCTTGTTATTTTTATTCAAATTTGTTTTATTATTCCAAAATGTTTTGAGATTATATTGTCTGTTATGCTTGTCATGATCGAATTAATAAAGTTGTTATTTTTATTCTTTTTTTGTTCAGTTTGGGTTATCAATCTTACATCTTGAATTGAACGTTTTTGTGCAAGTTATGTGTATGCGATCGTCTATATATTTATATATTAAGATATAATCAAATCTTACATGTAGAATATAATAATTAAGCAAAACCACTTTGCTTAATGAGAATACCTAATTCCTTCAATTAATGAATCAAAACTCTTCTCCAAAATGTGTGCAAACCATCAAAGGGGAAAACCCAAAATGTTTTCCTGATAGGTGGGTGTTTCAAGTTGGAAAATTGAAACACAATAAATATATAACCATTTATATTTTCAGGACTTTGTTTTGAAGTCTACGTAATTTTAAGCGTAAATTCCATAAATGGTTCCCAGTTATAAGTCGTTTTACATATTTAGTCCCTACATATCAAATATTACTAATTTAGTCCACAATTATTATATCATTTTTCACGAATGGTCCTTTGTTAACGTTTTTGTTAAGAACATGGATATAATTGTATATTCATACTTCCCTCTCTCCTCAATTAAGCTTCCTCCCTCCTCTCATACTCTTTCTCAAACTCGTCGCTGAATTTGAAGCTCTAAACCCAAAACATAAATGATCATTCCTCTCTCAATTATTAGTCTTCCTGATGGAACCTAAAATTAAAATCAATAAACTTTATGGATGAGTTTTATCGGTTAGTCTCACGAAATTGCAAAGAAAATAAACATTAAAACTCATCCATGAAGGTTACTCGTTTCGAATTTGGGTTCCACCAGTTAGACAAACAATTCAGAAAAGAGTGATGATTTCGGTTTTGGGTTCAAAGCTTCAAACTCAGTGACGGGTTTGGGAAAGGAGTGCGAGGAGAGGGAGGAAGCTTAATTGAGGAGGAAAAGGAGTGTGAATTTACAATTTTATCCATGTTCTTAACGAAAATGTTTACAAAGGACCATTCGTGGAAATGAATATAATAATAATTGGGGACTAAATTAGTAATATATGAAATGTATGGACTAAATATGTAAAATGGCCTATAACTAGGGATCTTTTATGTAATTTACTCTAATTTTAATATTAGAGTTGATGGTCACTCATTAGAGATGCACTTAGATATCGTTTCTTATTGGGTAAATTTAAAAAATGATACATCTTCCACGAAAATTTCGATTCGTTATCTAAACTTTAAAAGCTTTCAAAAAAATATTTGAACTTTGTGTTGAGCTTCTAAATTGTCCTTGATGTGATAGGAAAAAGTAGAATTTGATAGATAGATTAATAGTGAATAGATGTGATGTGATACGTAGGTTAAGAATTAGTAGGGTAAAAGTGCCTTTTTAATAAAAATGAGAAAACTTTTTGGGACGAATAAAAAAATGAGAAAAATTTCATGAACGGATAGAGTATAATTTTCAATATTGCTCTAAGGTCTTAAACTTTTATGTTTTATTAGGGTTGATGATCATATAATTCATTAAATTAAAGACGCACTTCGATGTGTGTGTAATAATACCAAATTGGAAAACCCATAATAATGCTTCTGTGACAGGTGTTTCAAATTCCAAAAGTGAAACACAATAAATATCTAACCATATATATATTTTCACATGATTTCTTTTCTTTTTTAAGCTCAGGTTCTTTTATTAGGGTTGATGGTCACTCATTTTTGAAACACTTAGATTATACCCCTAATTTTTATTAGGTATTCCCTCCATTCCATATTAACTGTCCATTATGACTTTCTTGTTACATTAAAAAAATTAGTGAATGTAGACATACGCTATGTCTATATTCATTCATTTCTCAATGTACCAAGAAAGTCAGGGCCGGCCCATATAGGGGACAAAGTGGCCGGTCGGGCCGGGCCCAAAAAATTAGGGGGCACAAAAAAAAAAATTTTAGTAATATATATATATATGTATAAGCCCAGGCCCAATAGTTTAACTCTTAAAACAAAAAAAAGAAGGGAACGGAACCAGAGAAGTGACGAAGCATTCCGCCAATCCTGCGCACCTGCCCCATTCCGCCAATCCGCCGGTTCCACCGCCGATAAGTGACGAAGCAGATGAACCAGAGACAGTGTGCCACCGCTGATTGAGTCGCCGCCTTCACCGGCGGACGCCGAGTCGCCGATCTGCACGGCTCCAGGTAATTATTCATAGCTTTCCCTTTCCAATTTTGTAATTTTTAATTCTTAAATCTTAATTTTTTTTATTGTTTTATTATTTAGATTTAAAATCTATGGTTGTTATTAGTTTTAAATTTGAATTTGTTATTCATAGCTTTCCCTTTCCAATTTTCAGTTTTTTATTTATGATAAGTATATATTTATATTAAAAAAATCTGAAAACTGAAAAAAAAAATTAAAAACTGAAAAATTGTTGAATTGATATGAATTTATGATTTATAAAAAAATTAAACTGAAATATAAAAAAACAATTTAAAAAGGACAAATTGACGAATTGATATTAATTTATGATATATTTAATTATTTGTTTGCTTGTTTTTTTTTCACTAGCAGAAAACCTTAGTGAATTTGAGTTTTTGGTATCAATTGTTATTTGGTATCAAATACTAAACCAGGTAAATATAGTGAGCAAGAAGTTACAATCAAAAGATATGCATCTTGATATTGCTATTAAAGAGATAAATGGATTGATTGACTACTTCAAGGGTTATAGAGAAACTGGTTATTCAAAAGCAATTGATGAAGCAAAGGAGATAGCTGTTGAAATGGATATACCTCCGATATTTCTAGAAAAGCGTTTGATTCGAAGGAAAAAAAGAGTTGATGAGAGTTCAAGCAGTGAAGAAGTTTCATTTACAAATGAAGAGACTTTCAGGGTCAATTTCTTCTCTTATGTTGTGGATAAAGTCATATCTTCTCTTGAGATGAGATTTGAACAATTCAAAGACTATATATGAGAGATTATTTGGGTTTTTGTTTCCACATAAGTTGAGTGGAATTGAAGAAAAAGAGCTTAAGTTGTTTTGCCATCAACTTGAAAATGCACTCAAGTTTGAAGAAAGATCGGATATTGATGCCGAAGAGCTTTACATGGAGTTGAAATCATTCAACACATTACAAACAAGTGAATTTAGCAATCCAATAGATGTTTTGAAGCATTTAAAAGAACTTGGTTGTTACCAGAATGCTTGCATTGCATATAGAATTTTGTTGACTGTTCCAGTAACGGTGGCATCTGCAGAGAGAAGTTTTTCCAAATTGAAGCTCTTGAAATCTTACTTACGGTCTACAATGTCACAAGATAGACTTAGTGGATTGGCGGTAATAGCTATCGAGAATGAAATCTTAGAGAGCATAGACTGTGAAGATGTGATCAACCAATTTGCTCTCAAGAATGCAAGGAGAACTTCTCGAATCCTCGGCTAGCTTTTACGGTATGTAATTATAACACTTTAATTTTGTCATTTATTTTTTTCTTTTAATAATATTACGTTATTTATTATTTAGATATAATTAGTTTACATATGTGAATTTTTAGATCATTAAATAAAAGATTTTTAGGGCCTTTTTTTTTGTTTCGGCCCAAGCTGATGAATCCTCAGGACCGGCCCTGAAGAAAGTCATAATGGACAGTTAATATGGAATGGAGGGAGTAGTGTTTGGCAACTAGCGTTTCATTTCAATTCATGCATTTCAATTCCAACATTTGAAATCTTGAATTTCAAATGACAGGGGGAGATGCATGGATTTGAAATTAAGCTTTGTTATGAATGAGAAGAATTTGGCTCAAATCCAAAAGTCATGATTTAAGCTTTATTAAGCTTTGTTGGAAAAAACACCTTATTACAAAGGATCATTTTGAGAATTTACTCTTTTTTTAATAATGCATTCTGTGAACCAAAAGTCATGATTTAAAGCAATCTTGCATTCCACTCCTTTAGCAATGTCGAGATTCATAAAGTTGTGTGTGCTTTGGTCCATCAAAGAATCATTTCCATCCTCTTTGTCTTCATGATATATATGACCCTTCGGCAGGTTTTTCTTCAGTACACAATTGATGCTCCCTGAAACAATTGATATTCCCAGGTAGTGTTTGGCTACTAGCATTTCATTTCAATTCATGCATTTCAATTCCAAAATTTGAAATCTTGAATTTCAAATGACAAGGGGTGGTGTATGGATTTCAAATTACGCTTTCTTTTGAATGAGAAGAATTTGACTCAAATCCAAATTCAAAATTTTTAAGTTTCCCAAACATGAAATTTGAGCAAAATCCGGATTTGAAATCCAAATCCATGTTCCCAAACATATTTTAGGGTCCGTTTGGTACACGAAATTAATGGAATTGGAATTGAATTGGAATTAAAATTCCATAGGATTCAATTCCATAGAATTGAATTCATCAATTCCAATTCATTTTTTGCACTGCCAATTCCAAATCCACATAATTTTTGTGCTACCAAACACGAAAATTGGAATTGAAATCCTCAATTCCAATTCCATAGTTTGAATTCCGTGTACCAAACGAGGCCTTAGTGTTGTAAACCTTTCATCGAATTCCCCCAGGAAGGAGCTTTTCTTCTAGATATTTGTGCGAGGCTTTGGCTATGATAAAATGATCTCATTTTTTAAAGCCACCATTGCAAGGAGAGTGTTTGAGTGTGCACTATCTTATGTTGTTTCATTACTCCTAAAAGTTTAGCCTATGAAACATGGCATGTGTAAATGTGTTCCTTAAACAACTAAGGCTATCTTCCGTAGGCCTGATCTGATTAATTCTGATCTTATTGAATCTAATGTGATTTGACTTGATCTGATCTGATCTGATCAAGTATAATTGAATTTAAATTTGATTAAAATTATAATTATTACAAGAAATTTAATTATTTAAAAGTATTACAATGCATATATACATAGAAAAAAGTAAAATAAGATAATGATTAACAATAACTAATTTTGTCTTAAATTCACCCTTGTGTTTACTAAATATTTTTAAGTTTAAAAGTTAGTCTTTTTAAGTATAAAAGCATTTATGGTTTTAAAAATTGAGCTTTGTATAATTCTTTTATAAACAAATGTCTTTCTATAAGCAAGCATTTTAAAAAGGCTCTTTTAAAATATGAAAACTAGAACTTTCTAAATCCTAATATTGCTTTCAATTCATACATCATTTTTACAAGCTAAGCAATTACTAGTAATAATAGTTTCTAGTTGGTATAATAATAATAAATAATAATAATAATAATACTTCATCTGTCCTAAAATAATACCGAGTAATAATAATAATAATAATAATAATAATAATAATAATTAAAGTTATAATATTAATTAATATTTATTATTTAGGAGTGTGTAGCTTTAAATAAAGTAATGTGATTTAATCGAATGGTAATTATTATTTAATCCTTAAAGAATATCAGTATTATTTTGATTGTGTTTGAGTGTGCACTATCTTATGTTGTTTCATTACTCCTAAAAGTTTAGCCTATGAAACATGGCATGTGTAAATGTGTTCCTTAAACAACTAAGGCTATCTTCCGTAGGCCTGATCTGATTAATTCTGATCTTATTGAATCTGATTTGATTTGACTTGATCTGATCTGATCTGATCAAGTGTAATTGAATTTAAATTTGATTTAAATTAAAATTATAATTATTACAAGAAATTTAATTATTTAAAAGTATTACAATGCATATATACATAGAAAAAAGTAAAATAAGATAATGATTAACAATAACTAATTTTGTCTTAAATTCACCCTTGTGTTTATTAAATATTTTTAAGTTTAAAAGTTAGTCTTTTTAAGTATAAAAGCATTTATGGTTTTAAAAATTGAGCTTTGTATAATTCTTTTATAAACAAATGTCTTTCTATAAGAAAGCATTTTAAAAAGGCTCTTTTAAAATATGAAAACTAGAACTTTCTAAATCCTAATATTGCTTTCAATTCATACATCATTTTTACAAGCTAAGCAATTACTAGTAATAATAGTTTGTAGTTGGTATAATAATAATAAATAATAATAATAATAATACTTCATCTGTCCTAAAATAATACCGAGTAATAATAATAATAATAATAATAATAATTAAAGTTATAATATTAATTAATATTTATTATTTAGGAGTGTGTAGCTTTAAATAAAGTAATGTGATTTAATCGAATGGTAATTATTATTTAATCCTTAAAAAATATCAGTATTATTTTGATTATTTTTTCTTGATCTGATTTGATTGGATTTCATATGATATAATTGGACCTGATCAGATTAGATCTAATCAGATTTGATTTAACAAGAATAAGTAATAAGCAGAAAAAATAAGTCCTGCGGAACATATCCTAATAACGAGTTGTGCCAACGTTTACTACTTCAAATGTAGGTATTGCGTTATATATATATATATATATATATATATATATATATATATATATATATATATATATATATATATATATATATATATATATATATATATATATATATATATATAGATTTTGGTTCTGGTGAGAATGCGATCTTAGGAGAGAAATGAGAATAAATCTGGTGCTTTAGATTGTGGGATCTAAGGGTCAGGATTGCATCAAAATTATATGCAACACAATGGTTTGAAAATGCATCACGTTGAAATGCATCATAATCCTTTGAAAATGCACTATCTCAAAATTTGAGCGCAGGATGCAATCTGAGCCGCACGATGCATCAGATCCAACGACTAGATTTCATTCTCATTTTTCTCCACAAGGTGCATTCTCACAGGAACCAGCCCCTATATATATATATATATATATATATATATATATATATATATATATATATATATATATATATATATATATATATAT